GGATGGGGCTGACTACCCGGCCTGGTGCCACTCCGTATGTATTATGCTGCTGCCTAAAGCACTATGGAATTTGGGGCAATTTGGTGCCTCACATTTTATGGTGCTTTATGCGGTTGTATACTTTGCGTATTGGTACGGACTGCCCTGGTGTAATAGCACTACAAAGAAATTCCCTGTGGTTCCCCATCTACTCTAGAAATGGTAGTATCTCACTTTCTTCAGTTTTTACAAGTAGCCCTGAATTGAAGACAGACCCAGGTGAAGCATAAGCAGGGTACTAGAGGCCACATGCCTCCAAATGCTGTGGGTGGGAGGAGCAAGAGCTGGCTTGCAGCTGGCAGGACCAGAGTCCCTGGGCCAGTAGCTGAAGTCCACTTCCAGCCCCCCATCCCTGCACTTACTGGTAGCGGTGGAGAAAATGGAGCAAATCAAAACGCATCCAGGGGAACAGAATGAGTAATGCATCCCCCAGCTTTTGGGAAAAGGTAGATAATAAGCCTTGTGATCTTGGAAGACAACCAAAAAATCCCACCTTAAAATTACTACTACTTCCTTTTCCCAAAAAGGGAAACCTAGTAGCCAAAAGTGGTAAATTTATTTAAAATCAGAATAATCAGTTACCCTGTATGATGAAGTGGATATTTTATTCGCTTTGTTTGTGAGTTCTACTGTCCTTTAGTCACGCAGTGTGTGCGCTTCAGTTTCCCAAGGCACTGTACTAATACCTAGATGGTGATGGGAATTTGGTGTGATAGCCTTCTTCACATATACAATGGCTCATGCTTTTCATACCCTGAACTAGGAGGGTGCAACCAGGTGACAACTTTTGCCTGGAAAGCAGGACAAAGGCTGGAGGAGGAGCCTGGCTGGAGGGCTGGTACCAGAATGAGGTGTGATTCAGTCTTGGCTGACATCATATCTTGTCTTCAGGGATATTAAAATGGCAGGTCATGACCCTTTTTCTATTTCCAGTGTTTTAATTTTTTAAAATATTCTTTCCCCTGTAATACTGAGTCATTCACCATGCAGTTATAGAGACCTAAGTGCTTATTAGCAGCATGCCTACAGATGTATTATTTGTATTACCTTTTAATATTCAATAAAACTGCAGGGATGATGCAAGTCAGCGAGTCAGAGGGCCCCTTCTTTCCTAGTGTGTGAATGTTACTGAACATTCTTAGATGAGTTAGTCATCATTATACCCCCATCTTCAGTGTAGCGTACAGTACTGGCAGATTGAGAGGTGTGACTCTGTTGCGTGCTAGTCAGAGGGTGTTGCCAAAAACTGTGGCTTTAGTGGGAGCAGCTGAGCACTCCTTTTGGTTTCTTAGTTGAGATCTGAGCCAAGTATTGAGCTGTGTTAAGCCTAAAACAGTTTGAATAGTGCCCTGAAGAGCTTGAATGTTGAAGACACACAGTAACTTGAACTTCCAGAATTTGAATGTGAAAATATTTCTGTGGAGCCAGCCGAGCAACAAATGGTTAATGGAAAAACAGTACACACATTCATTTTCTACTCTAAGAACATTGAACTGAAATATAACAGTCTTCAAATAATCTTTCCTTTGTCACAGATATTACTAAGTGCTTTGAGATGTTTCTCTTAAAAGCTTTGTAGCATAGAATCTGTTACCTTATAAATGTATGGGATATTTTATGGATATTTGAGCGAATTATGAGAGTATATAAGTAACAACTATAGCTGTTTTTATTAATCATAAAGGTAGGGTGACTATATTTCCCTATGTCAAATATGGGACACCTTTGCTCGGATTTAAGTGAGTTCATTGGCAATCAATCAGAATGATGCAATACAAATGTTTAAAATAATACTATGTTGACTGAGCACCCATTAAAAAGACACACTGCATTATTACAACTAATAGGAAAAAAGTAAAATATATGCTTACAATCAAGTGGCACTTTTTAGAAGTGCCTGCCTTGTCATCAACTTGCTGTCCAGGAGGCAGGGTGTGGGGGAGTGGGTCTCTAGGAGGGCCTAGTTTTGTGTGTACTGGGCTGTGAGGTGGCGGGAAAGAAATGTGAGTTGGGGGACTAGGGAGTGAGAGTTCTGGGCATCTGCAGTGGGATCGTGGGCAGGGATGATGTGCAGGGTGCTGCGTTTCTGGAGGGCTCTGGCTACAGGGAGTCTGGGGGGATGTTGAGTTGAGGGGCTGTAGGGCATAGCCTGGCATGGCATAGCCCTGCCCTCAAGAAAAGGGGCATGCTCGCAGCACAGGTCCAATCAGGCCACTGTGTGCCTGAGAACTGTCAGTTTGTAAATAATCCTTTTGCACTGGGCTGGGCAGAGGGCTGCCCCTGCCATCCATGCACCTTTTGCCTCTAGCTGTACCCTTGCTCTGAAGACTGGCATCCTGATGCAATGCTCCATTACACCCCTGAGAGCCCACAAAAAAAGTTTGGCTCTGGGCCCACAAAAGATTAATCAGGCCTTGATTCTGCTTATGGACTCAGGAGGCTTCTCCCCCATAGGGAGCTCTAGACACACAGGATTAAGCCCTGCTGCTGTCATTTTGAACCTCACCACTCATGGCTTGAGGGGGTGGGAAGGAGCAGGGATGGGGCTTCACCAGAAGTGCGTGCTAGGGATTAGGGCCACTGGAAATAGGGCTGTTGTGGGGAGGCAGAGGCCACCAGGGATGGGGACTGCTGACTCATGGCAGGTGCTTAAAGCAGGAGGGGGTGGTGATGCAATGAGCAACTGGGACCTCCAGGGGCTGGAGCTGCAGCCAGAAGTGAGGGCCACCAAGGAATGGGGCTGCTGGGGGCTGCAGCCAGTGGTTGGGGCCGCCAGGGAAAGCTGCTTCAGCTTGATGGTGGGGACCACCCAGAAACGGAGCTGTAGCTCCATGGCAGCAAGAGACTTCAGCCCAGTGGCAGGGGCTGCCTGGAAACAGGGCTTTTGTGTGAGGAGGGAGAGGGGATGGGGGTTGCAGCTAGCAATGGAGAGCCAGGAAGGGGGGTTTTCCCCCTGCCAGTGGTTGGGGCCGCCAGGGAAAGCTGCTTCAGCTTGATGGTGGGGACCACCCAGAAACGGAGCTGTAGCTCCATGGCAGCAAGAGACTTCAGCCCAGTGGCAGGGGCTGCCTGGAAACAGGGCTTTTGTGTGAGGAGGGAGAGGGGATGGGGGTTGCAGCTAGCAATGGAGAGCCAGGAAGGGGGGTTTTCCCCCTTTAGTGGGGGCCGCCTGGGAAAAGGACTGTGGGGGGTGGGGTGGGGAGGAGAGTATGGGGGCTGCAGCTAGTTGTGGGGGAGCCAGGGAAAGGGGCTTCAGG